AGCCCCGCCGCAGCGCCCCAGCTGGGTGCCCGCAGCCAGGCTTCACGCGGACACCGCGCCGCACAAAGCGCGCCCATCTCTCCCTGCGGCCCGGCCGAGGCGCACAACCGCCGGCGGGAAAGACTCTCAAGCGGGCTGCTGCTGGGGCAGAGCGAGGGAGAAACGCTTCCTAGGGCAGCAACTCCCCAACGCACAGGCTGCGCGCTGATCTCTCCCCTCCTTCCCAAGGCTGCTTGCTGAAGGAGGAGAGTGTGTGAAACACAGTGGGACATTTTTCACGGGGGGAAAGGTAGCGAAATCCTCCCACCCTTTGCAGAGTGGGGAGTCGAGCCGTAGTCAGAACAAATACCTATGCCATGCTCAGCCCTTCCTGAAGAGGCGATAATGCTCGCTAGTGACCCCCTCCGCTCTACTCCCCAGTACCCGCTTCCCCTCCTCCAAACTAAAGAGCAAAATCTTCTATCACTAGCGGCCGGGGAAATAGTAAGACATTGTTTGAGGAGAAGGAAGTTGTGTCCCCTTTCTTCCACCCCTCTCGTGACTCGAGGCGAAGGGCTAAGAAAATAATCCAAGAATGCAAGCCCTAAGGATTCCTTTTAAACTGTCTAGAATCTGAACATGTACGTGCCTGCATTGCCTCATACATTACAAATAATAAATGACTGGAGTAGAGTCACTGGACCTGATCAACTTTCACCTCAGTAACCTTAACATTGGAACGCGATACAAACACTAAAGTAGGGATGACTGGAAACAGTGCCTACGGAATCACACTACTTGACGGAAAGGAGGAGTGTCTCGGCTACAAAATAGTACTGAAATAAAATAGTTTGAAAACTGCAGTTGGCCAGTGAGAAATTCTTTATACCAAGTGCTTGGCAAACTGCCTCAAACCAAACCACATGAGAAATAGCATTTTAAAGACGGGGAAGTTAAAACCCCGGATGCTATAAGAATTAAAGACCTCACAACGCTCTTGAAACATTTCTGGTTATTGCATCTGCTACTGAACGTCTCGGCTGTACGTCTGTCTCTGAAAAGGGGCGGCCCTCCAGCGTTGTGAGGCCTTTGAGCTCCTCTAAGAAAGGTAGTGCTATTAGTTTGTTTGGTGCTGGGAGGTTGGAGGTAAGTGCGATATTGTTTCCAGTGTGACCTCAGGGCTAAATAATGCTATGGCATTTTTCGTTGATGCGGAGGGGAAGCTTAATGAAGCACAGCGTGAGAGCGGGTATCCTGGCCTCGCTGAAAAAGGGAAGAGGAACTGAGTGTGGGCGTGGCCACGATGCTGGCGCTAGTGTTGGTATACAAAGGAGAGCCTGCACTTTAACAGTGTGCGCCTCGCCCTTTCTTCCCTCCTTCCCAGTCAAAAGCAGAGCCATCACAGACATTTTTCAGACCTGTAGCAACGTCTGACGAGAGCAACATCCTGTCGCTGCTGAGCACGCTGGCTGACCGCGCTAGCCAGCTAGTCAAAGCCACACGCTTCCCGTTCGTCTCAGTGTAGAAGGGGAACTTTCATTTTTGTGGTGTGCCGGTGGCTTTTAAACGAAAACTTGGTACTTTTATTTATTTTATTTTTTTTCCTACTTTATATTTAAGGATTGTGATTTTCCGTTCAAGAACATTTTACATTGTTAACTTAGAAAAAATACCTCCCGTAGTCTGAAGATTTCAGAGGGAACCCCTCGATTTTCAGCTTCGCTAAGGTAACGTACTGCGCTTACTGCTCGTACGACCGCGTGTGTGCGAAGGGATTGGGCTTTAAAGCACCGAGGGATTTTTTTGGTGCCTTTAGTTAAGGGCATTATTCGGTTTCTGAAGTGGCATTAAAACCCCTGTGAGTGGTGGTGTGTGTAAGAGTTGCTTAGGCAGACGTAACATCCCTCCAAAGCTGCTGCTTCCTTCCAAGGTAAAAAAAACCCCACGCTGCTGGTGCAGTCCTGTGACTGCATTTGCATTTTTTCCCATTTAAGCTGCAGGGATCCCATTTCCCGCGGGGGGGTGGGGGAGGGTGTAGTGAAGAGGAGAGAGGTAAAAAGCAGAGAGCGGTATGGAAATGTTTTGAGAGAAAGGTTAATCAATAGCGAATGTGACAATCTCACATGGGTGTTGCATCAGTTTCTTTTCCCGGCATACTGAGGGGGCTGGAACAAGCGGTATTTCATTTTCAGGCATTTAATGCGCAGATGCGTGTAATCAAATGTATTTATGTATAAGGATAACTTATAACAGTTTTTATTATAGTATATGGGTATCTGTTATAAATCTTGATGTGCCTATGATAGCTTTTACATTGCAATATAACCGGGCTCCATGCAAATTATGTCAATCGGGCAGATTTGATTTCAGATATAAATGTCTTCCTAGCAGCTGGGGTATATGATCTTGATTTTTTTTTTTTTTATTTTTATTTTTTTTTTTGCTGTCGAGTCCTTACGCATGAAAGACGTATCTCAGTAAGCCTTCTTGCCATACTTATACACAGGCAGACTTTTTCCCATGCAGATCACATCTCCTGGCGTGTGCTTGGGTGTTGTAGTTGAAGATTTATCTTTGTTCTCTGTTGTAGTCAGTATCTTGTACTTTTCCTCTCTGCCCCTCCTCTGCTGGTACTTTTCCACTCGCCTTGCTGACGATGAATCAGACCCAGAGCAGCAGCAAGCAGCAGCTCTTCACGTGACCCTGTAGATAGACCACTGCAGTATTGACGTTTCCTTTTTACCTTCACAGGCAAGGCAAGTAAGTCCAGCTTCCAAGGACAAAAGAGTGAGCTCAGTGGAGACTGCCACTAAGGGGCGGTCATCTGGCCAAATATTCCCTACTTCATCTAATACGGAGAAAAGCTTATTCAATTCCATCATGACCAAGGCAGAAATGAGCAAGTTTAACATCTCTCCAGATGAAGACAGCAGTAGCTATAGCTCCAACAGCAATGATTACAATTATTCATATCCAACCAAAGTACCTAAGAGGTCAGTAGGATTTTACATAATTTTGTTTCCATTTGTTAATCATTTGTACAGCATTTTAAAGGTGTGAAGTATGTTATATTTTTAGTAAAATATTGTTTTTAAATGCCATGCTAGATTGTAATTAGTTTTGCTGGAGAATTTGCTGGTTTATTAATTTCGTTTGAAACATAATAAAAAGCAGGAACTGTTCATGTAAAACTTACTCATAACAATTAAATATGGATTTTTTTTTTCCTTACAGGACTTGTATAGATGGGGATCCGGAAAATCAAAATTTTCTGCCTGAATCCAATCTTGGAAAGAAAAAATATGAAATTGAATATGTAAGTATGCACTAATGACATTTTAAAATTAGCACACTGAATAACTTCTTTACTTTCAAATATTTAAATTAAGTATTTTCCACTTTTCAAGGTTTATGTTCAAATCTAAATCATGAATAAATCACTGGTTCTCTATTAATTATTAGCTTTTCCTTCCCTTACACAGCATCCAGGTACTACTTCCTTTGGAATGTCAGCATTTAATCTGAGCAATGTTATTATGGGTAGTGGCATCCTTGGACTTTCTTATGCCATGGCAAACACTGGAATTATTCTCTTTGTGTAAGTATGTTTTAGTTAATAAAAAAGGCTTTTCTGCCATGTATCTGTTAATAGATAATATTAGGGGTACCCAGTATAGTTGTAGCTATGTTAGTCCCAGGATATTAGAGAGGCAAAGTAGGTGAGATAATAGCTTTTATTGGACCGACTTTTGTTAGCGAGAGAGACAAGTTATTGAGCCACACAGAGCTCTTCTTCAGGTCTGGGAGTCATTCCACCCTCCTTGCCTCTCTAATATTAGGGATTCAGTCATGGCCCAAAGTCAATGGCAGAGCTCCTACTTACTAAATCCTAAAGTGCAGTCCTGACTCTACTGAAGTGGGTATTTCCAATTAATATTGTACTTGTAGCTAATATAGTGGTTGAGGTGTATTCTGAGAAGTTTAGAGACTTTTTTTCAACTTTCAAAAAAATGTGAAAAAATAGAGCTATTAATCTACAGACTAGGCCTTAGTAAACTACTAATACAAAGCCTTAGTAAAACAAAGTAATCAGAAATGTTATAAGGATATTATTACCTCAGTAGTAGTAATAATACCTCCTTGTTGAGGAGGAAAAGACAATAGCAAAAACCACAATAACAGGAAAAAGCTGTGAAACAACAGTGGAGAAGTAAGAGTAGCTTGTCTTTATTGGTGGTGACATTGCCTTCAGAGCTGGGCACCCATTCAGCAGCTTCCACTTCCCACTCTGCCTCTGGAGCTGGAGCCTGAACAGCCAGACAAGTGCCCAGCTCTGAAGCCAATGCCACCTCCAGCAGCAGTGGAGATGTAAGAGTGGCAGTGTCATACTATGCCATCCTTCTGTGATGCTGCTGTTGGCAGCACTGCCTTCAGCAGTGGGTGCTTGGCCAGCAGTTTCTGCTTTCCACTCTACCTTCAGAATTGTGTGTTGATATATTAAATATACACACACTAGAGGGAGAAAGTGTAAATGGCTACAGAGGCAAGGAGGGGTGAAGTCAAATAAGTTTGAGAACCACTGGCCTAGATGAACCTACAATAAGGTAGGTGCACACCTGCTTGGAAAATGTTATTCAGGGAGTAACTATTAATGGTTCACCATTCTGCTGGAATGGTGGAATGGAGTTTCATACAGATCTCTCCTACATCCAGTTTTATCTTCATGGATGATTTGGACAAAAGGAAATGGGAGAGCCCACTTACAAAAAGTGTGTGGATGATACCAAACTGGGAGGATTTACAAAGTGCTTTGGAGGATAGTTTTGAATTCTTAGCCTATCTTGACAAACTGGAGAAATTATTTGAAATAATTAGGACAAATAATTAAACAAGGACAAATGCAAAATACTACCATTAGGAATATAAAATGGTAAATACTACCTGAGAAAGGAGTACTAAAGAAAGGATCTGAGGGTTATAGTGGATCACATACTAAATATGAGTCATCAGTGTAATACCATTGTAGAAAAGGTAAACATTGTTTTCGGATGTATTAGTTAGAAGAGTTGTAAACCAGGCAAGAGCGGTAATTTTTTCCGCTCCTACCCAGCACGAATGAGGCCTTCACTGGAGTACTGTGTCCAGTTGTGGGCACCACATTTTGGGAAAGGTTGTGGATAGGATTGCCAGATGGTTTCAGAAAAAATACCCCCCAAAAAAAGCCAGGAAAAAGTTTAAGGAGAGGGGAAAAAAAAAAAAAGACCCCAAGAGCTGTTAAGCCAAAAAAAAAAAAAAAAATCCCATGATCCCTTTAAAAACTGTGCGGTGAGGCTTTTTGGCCCTAATAGACTGCTGGCGGCCACCCACCATGTTGCCTCCCTGGGCCGGGCTAGGCAACTCCCCAGTAAGCACTAGGTTTGCCAGGCTGCATCCATATTGAGCCGGACAGCCTGGGATTTTCGCCTCCTGGCCAGAAAAAAAAATCAGAAAGTACCAGACATTTTAGGTGTCTGGTATTTTCTGAATTTTTTTACTGGAGAGGAGGTGAAAATAATGGACTTTCCGGTTCAAGACCGGATGCTTTGCAACCCTAGTTGTGGGCAAATTGCAGAAAGTCCAAAGGAAAGCAAAAAACATGATTAAAGATCTATCAAATGTGACCTATGAAAAAAGATTTAAAAAATTGTGTTTGGAGAACAGAAAGCTGAGGAGGTGGAACTAGGTAACAATTCCAAGTACATAGAAGGTTGTTATAAAGAGGAGGCTGATAAATTGTTTTTCTTAGCCACTGTGGACAGGACAAGAAGTAATGGGATTAAGTTGCAACAAGAAAGATGTAGATGAGATTTAGGAGTTGGTGAAAAGAAAAATAAGAGGGAGGATGCAAATTTAAAGTCAGTTATTTGAATAATTCAGCGCATTATACTTTAATCAGTTCATTTAAAAAAACCACTTCTACCTAGCAATCTACCTTAGCAATCATGGGTACCACAGTGGTTTAATTCATTAAGTTTTTCATCTCTAGATTTTGAATTCAAATGTATTGCTACTGAAATAAGGCTACACTACTTCAAATAATATCACAATTAAGTTTGATTAGTAGTCTAGATGCAGGAGAGCACAGGTTTTGGCTACTGAGTATGCAAAAAGCTTTTAATGTCTGATTGGTTCACATCTGGAGAAGTTAATTTGCCCTGGTGCATTTAATCGTGAAAGGCAATCTTGAATATTTGTATGTGTATAATATGTGGTAAGGATGTGAATGGTTTACCTGTTACAATTAACAGATGGGGGCTAGAGCAGCCCCCTGCCTGCTGCGGCCCCCACTATGTGTAGAGGGGGCACTAAGGCCCACCTCTGTTTAACCAGTTAACTAATTAAATGGGATTTTACATCTCTAATATGCAATGTATTCTGTGGTACCTTGTGGAGCTATGTGGAGATACTTGTATTACTTGTCATCCATAAGCATGATGGAAGCTCATGTCCCTACATCTTTTACATTGGCAAGAACTAAAACCCATACTGGGAATGGAAAAAAACAAACTAAGCTTCACATTTTTGAGAAGCTATCGCAGGGGTGGTCAACCCATTTAACAAAGAGCCAAAACAGCGGTGGAATAATGGGAAGAGCCGCATCAGAACTGTCAAGCAAAAACAAAAAAATTAAATTTAAAAAAAAAGGAGACTGCCTCTTTAAGATGGCTGCCATCTTGGGCACCATTTTTAAAACCTTGCAGCTCCAACTCAGTAAGCACAGGAAAGCCGAGGGCCGGGGGGAGCTGGTGGGGACCACAGGAGTGGGGCATCATGAGCCACACTTTTGTGGGGCAAGAGCCACATGCAGTATGCAAGCCGCAGGTTGGCCACGGCTAAGCTATAGTCTCTGGGGACTGTTCTTTTAAAGTAGAATGCTTGTATTAGTGTAGGAAAGGGCAGTTTTTTTGATATACTGTAGCTTTGCAACAGTGGTATTCAACTGTGAAGAAGAGTTTAACTGCTCAAGTACTGTGATTTTTTTTTTTTTTTTGATTCATTGAGAAGTTTTTACTTTTAGAGGTTACAAAGTATTTTAGGAAAAAAGATGTATAGTCCTAATAGAAACTATAGGAAAACTAGATAACTTATGGGAGCCATTAAAAGTCTCTGTTTAAGCACAGGTGAAACAGTAAATGTTAAGCAAAGAGAACTAAGCTGTATATCTTTCAATAGATATTAATTTTAAAATAAACCCTACTGAATCACCCGTTCTTAACATTTTTTAATTGTCAGTCCATACTTTACCAAAAAATAACATACAGCTATAAGGTGATTTGTTTCGGACTTTAGCAGTTTTTCTCACCTAGTCACAAGTCTAGTGTATCAGAGATGAGCTAGCAGTGATATAATTACCTAAGAGTGTGAGGGGAAAATATAAAAACAGATATTATAGTGATACCAAATAATGTTCTTTGATATTGTTGTTAAATATTTTTATTAGATCAATCAAAAATATATTGGGTCTGATTCTCATTTACACGTGCACCACTCTAATAGTGTAAAGGCTCCCTGAAGTGGATGTAAGTATTTACTCCCACTTCAGCAGTTGTGAATGTACATGAGAATTGGGCCTGTTGACAAAATATGAAAGTAGGGAGATGTACTTTCTAATGTATGGATTTAAGAATGGTGTCCTTTAATAAACAAGTAATGGTTTGATTTAAACTTTCTCAGGTAGCATTGGAATTTATGCTTATATTTCTTAATTGTTTTTTTCATTTCATTGTATTTTGATATGTTATGTTCTGTCTTGAATCCTTCCTACTGATATGGCTAAAATTCAAGGCTGTCTAAATGTTTGGCTTTTTTTTTCTCCCCTCCTAGGATTCTCTTGGTGGTTGTGTCAATATTCTCTTTGTATTCAGTTCATCTCCTCCTAAAGACTGCCAATGAAGGAGGTATGGTAACTTCTTGTACAAATAGTTATTACTACTTAATACTATCTATCCTTTATAAAATATACCTTTTTCAATTGATTTAATTGTGTATCTTTGTAGGGTCTGTATTATATGAACAGCTAGGAATGAAGGCTTTTGGATTGCCTGGAAAATTTGCAGCTTCTGGATCAATTACAATGCAGAATATTGGAGGTTAGAGTTTTGGAAAACATACTCTAAATTGTAAAATCAAATAGTAAATATTCTCTTTTCAGACTTTTTCACATGTTTTTTATTGTGGCAAGTAAAGTTATGAAAAATTTTTTTGATTGTCATGTTTCTTCATTTATATTTGTAATGATCTATAATATTGTTTATTTACAGCTATGTCAAGCTATCTCTACATAGTGAAATATGAGTTGCCATTGGTCATCAAAGCATTTATGAACATTGAAGACAACACAGGGTAGGTGACACAACTCATTCTCATCAGAGAAACTACTGGTAGAAACAAAAATGTACGACATACACAGCAGGGGATTCAATTGTGATGGGCTAGGTTTACCCCTATGGAAAAGAAAATGAGTTCTTGCCTGAGTCCCAGGTAGTAGGCAGAAGGCCAGCGCCAACCATGCAGAGACCTTGAGTTTCTGCTGTAGCTCTTGGTCAGGCTCACTCTCTCTTTTTCTCTCTCTCTCTGTCTTTACCCCAGCACCCTAGCAGTATACAGTAGAGCCCATTATCAGAGATTTCACCATGTCCTTCTAAGCCTCTTTTTAAAGGGTGATCTCCATCTTAGATGGGTCATGGTGAGAGAAGAAATGCAGCTTCAGGTTGAGGGCTTGAGAGCAACAAAGAGACAAAGGCTCAGATTCATAAGGTACTTAGGCAGCTACCTTCAATTAGGATTCAGGGACTTAAGTACCTTTTCTGAATTTGCCCTCCTGTCGTCCCACCATGATCATAGATATGCCTAGCTATCCTAGCTGAAGACACATGGAAACAGACATTGCAGGAGGTGAGAAGATCCCCCCAGTATAGATGGGGGGAGGCAAGGTGGTTGTTCTTCCCTCCCCCTGGCCGCTCGTGTGATGATCCTTCCTGGCTTGGATACTGTTCTTAGTACAGATACATCTGAATGCTAGAATTTCCAGCACCTACATTTACTTCTCCCATTTATAAGATTAAAAAATACATCTTGAAAATTGCAGTATTTCATATATATCATCAATATCCCCTTTATATACTGATTGTGAAATTTAGCTCAAAATAGTTTTATTCCTGGTATCATTACTGCATTATATTATACTTACAAACAATAGCATGTTATAGAAACAAATATATTTAAGAACTAACTTGTAGGCATAATCGTTATACAATGCTTTGATTACTTACAAATTTAACTTTTTTTTTCTTACAGACAATGGTATCTTAATGGTGACTGTCTGGTTGTTCTAGTGTCCATAGTGCTCATTCTTCCTTTGTCACTGCTGAAAAATTTGGGTAAGCAACTGTTTATTTAAAGTAAATATGGAAACATAGGCTTGATTAGCTGTTAGCATGTGGAAGGCCCAATTATGGGAGCTACCTCCATGTTACTGATCTCTTGCCAGGAGAACTGCAAATTATCTTAGTTCCACTGGAGAGCAACAGCAAATCTCTTTTTAAAAAATAAATGAGGGCTACAGAGTGTTTGTAGAGTGTAAAAAGAAAATAGATCAGTGTTCGCTGTAATATGGATGTAAAAAGTTGTTTAAAAATGTAACTGCTAAAAATCATAGTGGTTACATATGCTGCAGGCTCTGTAGTATGAAACTTGTATGTTTTATTCTATTAGCTCCTTATTTATCTAACCCTAATCCTTTATAAGCTTCATGCTGCAGAACCCATGTAGTGTAGGCATAACCTATGAGTGACCACATTATGAAATGAGTGATTTTTTTTATTAGTAACACAAAGCCACTGGATTAGCAGTTGATGAGTTATTGCTGATAAACTGCTGCATTCCCCTGCCCCCAACTGAATTACTAACTCCAGTGATAGCAGCTCTCTCTTAATGGGTCAGCTAGCTCTACTTTAAAGTATCACATAATTTGAGCTAGGAATTTTTGGATGTGGAAGGAAGTGCACAAAACAAGTGTTGACACTTGTAAATTACTTAATTTAGTGATTTAGCAAATCCAGTGGAAAAAATTTTAAGAGGCTTTTATTTAAACTATTGTTTCTCTTGTTTATAGGATATTTAGGATATACAAGTGGTCTTTCCTTAATGTGTATGGTCTTCTTCCTTATTGTTGTAAGTATAATTTCTCTGTTTACAGTGCTTGTAATAGTTCATGTCAATTGAGATTTCATATGATAAATTAATGGAGGGTTAAGTCCATTAATGGCTATTGGCCAGGATGGGTAAGGAATGGTGCCCCCAGCCTCTGTTTGTCAGAGGGTGTAGGTGGATGGCAGGAGAGAGATCGCTTGATCATTACCTGTTTGGTTCACTCCCTCTGGGGCACTTGGCATTGGCCACTGTCAGCAGACAGGATACTGGGCTGGATGGACCTTTGGTCTGTCCCAGTATGGCCATTCTTATGCTCTTATGATTTCTAAGAGCTTTATCCTATTGTATCAGTTAAATAAATATGGTTTGATGGTATTTTTAGGTAATTTGCAAGAAGTTTCAAATCCCTTGTCCTCTGGAATTGGAGTATGACATGGTGAACACAACTCTGAATGGCACGTTGGCACACCTAGCAAATGCTACACCTTTGAATGGCACATTGGCACACCTAGCAAATGCTACACCTTTGAATGGAACAGAACAAAACATGACTAGTGATGACATGTGCAGGGCAAAATATTTTGTCTTCAACTCACAGGTAAGATACCATGTATAAATTGCATTCTCACTATTAAAAATAAAGGGAAAGAAAACATACATTACATAGGTATATGGTCATTTCTGTTTCTGACATAATTGCCATACCCAGGAGTGGCCCAAGGCCGGCTGCAGCAGCTGGGGCCTCAGGCAGTATGGCCATCGGTGGCCATGACATCATCACGGGGCCCCCGGGCCAGTGGCGCTCTAGGCAACTGCCTAGTTCGCCTAGGTTCATGAGCTGTCCCCGGCCATACCTAATATTTTTGGGGCTGTTAATAATTTATGACCCAATCCTGAGAGGCACTGGGAACAATTTGCCAGATAAGTTGCACTGATGCAACCCTCACCAGTAAATGAGTTTTGCGCTGGTGTAACAACTATGATAGAAAAGTCTCCATTGACTTCAGTGGGCTTTGGGTCAGCTTCTAAAGGCCCAATCCTGCAACCTTTACTCACGCAAATACCCTAATGATGGGAATATCTCATGAGACTGGAATACTTACACGAGTACAGGTTTTCAAGATCAGGCCATAAAGATTAAATCCAGCAAGGTACTCAGCACCTCTTGGGAAATGCAGAGTGCATTCAGCTGACATGGTCTTAAATGGGGGCTTGAGGATACTTGTTATTAAGTCTTTTTAAAGAGCAAAAAAGAGAGAGTTGAAATAACCCAGCTTTTCAGTAAGTCTTTTTAACAGAAAATTGAGGCAACTAGACTTCCAAAGGAAATCTGAGCAAAAATATAACCTAGAAACTTACTGATAAATTTATCCTTGCATAGAATCTGCTACATCTATCAAAAAGGTTATAAACCATGTTTTATGTTTTTCAGACTGTTTATGCTGTACCAATCCTAACATTTTCTTTTGTATGCCATCCTGCTATTCTTCCTATTTATGAAGAACTGAAGGGGTAAATATATAGATTGTATATGTTTACTATTAAAAAAGAAACAAGCAATATATTGTCTTTACTAACTGTACTTTTTTTGTTTCTTTTTGTTAATAGCCGAAGCCGTAGAAGAATGATGAATGTTTCCCATGTTTCATTTTGTTCCATGTTTGTAATGTATCTGTTGGCTGCTCTCTTTGGATACCTGACATTTTATGGTAGTTATTGCCTCTTCTACTTTGTTGTAGATAAAGCATGTCTCTAGAAATTCAGAATATATCTTGTGGCTTATAAATTATAGAGCAAACTTACTAATTATTTGTATACACTCACACCCCCAGGGGCTAGTAGGCTTATAGCTAAATTTCAGGACTGGAAGTCAGGCTATTTTGGTGCTGTTTGACATAGACTTGGTGTTATCCTTGACCTTTCTGTGCCTAAGTCTATACTTTAGTAAAATGGGGATACCACATCCAGAGTCTATGAAGCTTATAAAATTAGTTTTGATTTATAAAGTACTTTGAGTCCAACATTGAAGTTACTATGTAAGGGCCATTACAGAAGTGAGTTTGATTCTGAGTCTTATTATGTTTTAAAGGGGTGTAATTTTCCTCACAAACCTCCCGTAATTTCATGTTGTTGTATTTTTTTCCTTCTACTGTGCTTGTATTGGCTTTCCTCTGTAAAACCAAAGGACTAAGTTCTTAGATTTTAAGGAGTCTATACCTGTACAAATGAGATCAGAATTTGCTGTTATGTTGCTATAGTCTGATAATCAGAAGGTAAAAAACCTATTTGTCTTTCTCATGCAAAGTCAGTGAGTAGCAGAGAGCAGAATTTGGCTCCTCTGGAGTATATGTGCAAGTAAAAAGAGTAGGGCTTTGCCCTGTGTCCCTTTCTATTCCTTGAGCTCACATATGCTTATCACCAGCTGAGTTTAAAATTCAGTTTAAATTTGTGGAGGAACTGGACTGTTCTGTTTCTTAAGTGGACAAGGATATTACTATTCTATTATGTTTTGCTGCAGTATCGTCAAGAATGTTATTAGCATTTAATTAAAATACCATTTTCTTTATAGACAATGTTGAAGCAGAATTGCTTCATACTTACTCTGCAGTCCTGGGTGCTGATGTTATTATTCTGATTGTGCGTCTGGCTGTACTTATGGCTGTAACCCTTACTGTACCTGTAGTTATCTTCCCAGTAAGTCTTTTTTTATTATTATTGGCTGTGTCCATATTAAACAGTAATTGGCTGCCTTTTCTTACTCTTCTGCTATCGACTAATAATAAAATAAAATTAATTAGGCAAATACTGTTTAGTTTTTTTTTCCTTGAAAAAAATCTACATAACAAGCCTGCTTTTTGCTCAATTAACTGAACATAATAAATGAAATAGATGACAAGCATCAATTTAAAAAGTAAAACCTTTCTACGTACAAGAGTTTTACAATATCGTTTTTCTTTACTTCAATCTGTTTTTTAAATGACTAGTGTTGGGTTCTATACTGTTTCTTATTTCCCTTACCCATTCCCCTTCTTTTGTTTTAAACACCTAAATAACTAGAAAATCTATTTTCATAAAGAGCTGTCAGTTGCACAAAGTAAAGTGCTAAACTTTTTTTTCCTGTTTTACTATTCTAGTAATCCCCAGTTGATTTTGCAACAGTTAAAATATTTTCAGACAGACATGCAGTTAAGTTGACAGTGTCTCTTTAAGGACTTTTGTAACTAATACTAATGTTCTCATTTTTTACAGATCCGGACTTCAATTACACAGCTGTTTTGTGCAGAGAAGGAGTTCAGCTGGTTACGTCACTGTTTCATTACACTCTTTGTTTTGGCATTTACCAATGTTCTCGTAATCTTTGCCCCTTCCATTCGTGATATATTTGGATTCATTGGTAAGAGTTCGTATTTTAGTGTAGGAGTTGTAGGTTTGGTTTTATTCCCCAAAAAAATCGGAACATGTTTAAAATACAGATGAATATTTTACTTATTTCAGAAAATTCTGGGTTTTTTTCATATAGGTGCCTCTGCTGCTGCCATGCTGATCTTTATACTTCCTTCTGCTTTCTATATCAAACTAGTGAAGAAAGAACCTATGAAATCAGTGCAGAAGATTGGGGTATGTATAGAAGAGTATATTCATTAACATGATTTCATCACTGACTAGCTCAGAGCAAGTGTTCTAGTTTTTCTTTATAATCTAAGGATCTCAGAATTACTGTGATCTTTAACAGTAGTTTCATGGGCAGTTGTTACTGGAGACAAGGCCAGCAGGCAGTTATTTCTGCAGACTTCCTCACATGGCCTCTCCACTTGTCCCCACCAACTCCAGAAATGACAACAAACAGCAAATTGTTAGTGGCAATTCCATACAATGATTGCACCATTATTAACATTAAAAGTGCATGCATAGAAATGGAACACATTTTATAGCAAAAATACAAATATGGGGGGAAGTGCCTGATCAGTATTTAGTGGAACGTATTCCACACAATATCTATTCTGTACTGAAACTGCTGTATAATATTATGCAGCCTTATTGGGGTGTGTCTCAAATACCAATTCTTTTGGTTACTCTTTGAGAACTGACCTCCTGATTATTTGGGCGCTCTCACTTGGTGTTACTGTTTCTGATCTTAGACCAGTTCAGATTCCCAGCTTGTGCAGCCAGGCATAGCTGTATTGAATCAATGGAGCAATGCCAGTTTACACTAGCTGAGAATGTGGCTTGCTATATTACAAATAAAGAACCATTGCATATTAATATAATCACAGGTTATTCTATTGTAACCTTTGTTCTTTTTATTAGTCCTTCCATAGTGTCCCTTGACTAATTTAAATCTTAAATAGCTACGGGAAGGCACTTTATGTGTTTATTCCATGTATACCTAAGGAGCTGAAGAAAAAAATACCTGACGTTAATTTTGTATTTTCTCTTTCCAGGCTATACTCTTCCTCTTGAGTGGCATACTTGTGATGACTGGAAGTATGACCTTGATTATTATAGATTGGATCCATAATTATGCATCTGATGGACATTAGCTCTTATGATTTAATCTCAGATACTCCTGTATTCACTCAAATATCTACTGAGAAAGAAAATCACCTACGTTTGCAATTTTGCTTCCTTTAAAATGCAGATTCTTTGATGCTGGTTTTTTCTGACTGTAGAATAAGTGAACTCTTGAAAAGAAACTATTCTGCATGATGGAAATGAGTATTAACATCAAACCACCCGAGTCTCTGGCTGAGGGAAGTGACAATTTTATTCCATTCCAGAGAATGGACGAACTCTCTGTAGAATTTTATCAAGCCATGTTTGGCTTTCATCATTGTTACTTGGGTATTTTATTATTTTACTTGAATGTGCCTAATGGAACCATTTGATGTGAAAAGTAACTCTTAATTAACAGCAAAGTGTTTATATAACCAATGAGAGAGGGAAAAAATTATTATTTTATGTACCAAAAATTCTTATGGACCTCAAAAGCACATTTTTTACTTTTAAGAATCACATTTTTAAATGAAAAAAAATGTATCCCAGTAACATGGAACCTGTACAAACATTTAATCAGTGTTCTAAATTTAATAGTTTCCCCTTTTTATAGAGGAATAATTAGAAGGGGGAGTATTTGGCCATCAGAAATATTTTTTTAAACAAATTATACTGTTTCTTTCAAACAATCTGAGAAGGTTAAAACTCTAACTAAAAAGAAATTGTTTTTAGTGCAACTCAGTTACTCCAAAATTTAATTAAACAAGTCATTGTTGAGATTCCAAGTCACTGTACCTAAGCAACTAGAAAAATTACAGTTTTAAAAATGTTGATCTGACTCAAATTTTAATGCCTTTAACATTGTCAGGTCATCAAAATGGATGACTGAAACCTTTTTATATAGTGAAGAGTTTGTAAAGATCTTAGTATTTCTTGAGATTCTCACTAGTGCAGTTGGGTAAAACAGGGTGGTTTTTGGTTATTCAGTTGCAACTGTCTACCAAATCACGTTGGCTACGTCTAGACTGGCATGACTTTCCGCAAATGCTTTTAACGGAAAAGTTTTCCGTTAAAAGCATTTGCGGAAAAGAGCATCTAGATTGGCACAGATGCTTTTCCGCAAAAGCACTTTTTGTGGAAAAGCCTCCGTGCCAATCTAGACGTGCTTTTTTGCGCAAAACAAATCTGAGCTGTCTACACTGGCCCTTTTGCGCAAAAGCTTTGGCAAAAGGACTTTTGCCCAAACTGGAGCAGCATAGTATTTCCACAAGAAGCACTGATTTCAGACTAGGAAGTCAGTGTTCTTGCGGAAATTCAAGCGGCCAGTGTAGACAGCTGACAAGTTTTTCCGGAAAAGCAGCTTCTTTTGCGGAAAAACTTGCCAGTCCTAGATACAGCCATTGGGTCATGTCATATGATATTGATACACAGAACTCTGAGATAAATGGAGAATTATGCTTAATGATAGCATATTCTCAATTATGTTTTGTATTTTTGGACAGCCTTTCTTGAATGTGCTGCAGCATAAAATAGAGGTCCTTCTATAGTTTATCAATTGTACAGTTTTTCACAAAGTGTACAGTATTTGTCAATTTTTCATTCACTGTTGAATTTCTAATTGATTATTTTTGTTCCTATTTTGTCCATGTTCAAAGCCTAGTATATAAACTACCAGTATTTGGTGCTCACTACAAGTTCCTTTCATATAGGCAACTGGGATTCCTCATGCAGTTGATACTGTACAGTAATACAAAAAAATCAACATATGACATATGTTATAAAATATAACAAAAAATATCACGGAATGAATTGTCATCTTGTTTACTTTACAAATAGATTTGTTTTGTTTGAGCCCTAACTTAATAGGCTATCAAAGCAGATTCTGTATGGTTGTGATTAGCTGTTTTGTGTCTACTGCATGTTTCTATTTATTCCTATCCCAGGTTGAAGAAAAAAAATGGTACCTGTATAAGAGTACATTTGACTTATCAACAAGCTCTCAAACACTATAAGAATGGGTGCAGCATACGAATTCAGATAGATGTAATAAAAGAAAGTCATGGTACTTCATTCAACTATATTTGTCTGGCATAACGTTTTAAGAATCTGATCTACAAAATTCCATTTTATAGTTGGGTCCTAGGGAACAAACAGTGGCATACAAACATTTGATTGAAGAGCACTGAAGATTTTGTATAAAAAAATCAATTCTAGGTAACAATCACTATTTGGCAGGTTAATGCCTGTTTTCTTCCATGTTTTTTAAATATCTGAAAAAATGAAAGAGATTTTGATAGACTACAAATACTAGTCATCATATCTGTAGCAAACATGATGAGATTTCCTCATCTTGCTTGATTGATTAGTCCACCTGTACTCAAATTTCAGTTAGCTCTTTGAACTAAACACTACTTTTCTTACTGGGAATCAGGAAGAGGAAATGAAATTCAGATCAAAGGCTAATTCCTGATACATGGAGAGTGATATGGCAGCTCTTCTTCCTCCCTCCTGTCCTTTACTGTCTCCTCCCCCCCTCCCCGCCCCCCATACATGGAAATCTGGAGGAGGAATTAAAATATTTTCTCCCTCCAAGAATTTTTAGTGTATGGAAGATGAAGAGATCCCTTTTTAAGCATCAAAGGGAGAAAAAAATTAACCTTTTCTCTTTCTGCAACTGCAAAAGATGGAAAGAGATCCTGCAATCACTGTCAGAGGGGAGATAAGTAATGAAGGTGTTAATACATGTTTGCAAATTAATGCAGTAATGTCTGCATGATATATTGTGAGTCAGTTCTCCAAAGCTCCGTTGATGACTTAAGTAGCTCTTCATCTGTTAAACTTGAGTACCACTTTTCTGGGTAGACTTCTAGCATATTAATCTGTTGCAAACATGTCAGTGGGGTCCCTAAACAACAAACCAATGGAAATGAGCAGTTTCAGTATTAAACCACTGTGTTATCACCTTGTTTTTACATTGCTGTCTTCCATGATATTTCAGTCAAACTGTAATGTTATTTATAGAACAATAATCCATTAACTAAACCAGTTTTTCAATATTTATGAGAGTCTGTACATAATTGTGTGTGTGTATACATAATGTAAATATATTGTATATTACTATAGATTCAGTACTTTGGTATATGTATATAGTCATCATTATTAATGGTTATTGCATCATTTCAATGAGTTCATGTTGAATATCTGTAACAACATTCAAAGGAGTTTCTTCAGAAAAACGTTATGCTTACGAAAGTGGAAATAGTATGTTACACTCAAGATACATAAGAACAAACTAACATGAAAGGTTTTATTTATTACAAATGTGTATGTTGCAAAAAAGAGGAGTCTTTGGGGTCCATAAAGAAGTATAGATCAGGTCCAGATTTTTTTCATGCCATTTAACATGGATGTTACAATTTTCCAAATGCAGTGACTAACAACTTTTACAATCTAATGTATCTGGAAGAGATGTTCTATGGTACATCTTTGTATATATTGTATATACCCACTGTATTGCTAGAGGTCAACAATTCAGCTACAGTTGTTGGCAAAGTGTGTTACACAGTTTCAATGAAACATTGTATGTTTGTTTTAACTGAATTAAAAGTAGATAATCCTTAGTAAATTTTGTGTTTTCTTTGGGAATGAAGAGATGGTGAAGGAATTTCTTCTGCGTTAATAGTAATGTGGGGCACACACACAATTTAATTCCTTAGCTATTTGACATTATCAACACTATTCTGAAAAAAAAAATACATGCAAACAAATAGAATTGTGCAGCATTTGACTTAGTACAGGCTCTCAGATGCCTGTATCATAGGCAAGACATAAGCCTGTGTCTAGATTGCAGGCTTCTTGTGCAAGAAGCATTTTTCGGAAGAGATCTTCCTCAAAACTTCTTGCACAAGAGAGCATCCACATTGCAAAAGCGCATTGAAAAAGCCATGCGCTTTTGCGCAAGAGAGCATCCAGACTGCCTGGATGCTTTCTTGCAAGTAAGTAGGGATTGCTATGGACAGAATGGCCACCAGGACACCTGTGCTTTTTCTTAATCCCTCTTGGGCAAAATAACCCTCTTCCCCTCCACACATGCCTTTTTGTGCAAGAGTTCCTGCACAAAAAGGCATTCTTCCTTATAGAATGAGGATTACCAGTTGTGCAAAAATCCCTCTGATCTTTTGATTTACTTGCACAAAAATGCACTTGAGGTATGGATGCTCCATAGTGTAGACATAGCCTTATAAGAACCTAGGTAATCAAAAAATACTCCTGCCATTGTGTGCAACTATATTCATTTGGCATTGTTTAAAATACCTGATTTCTAAATTTTAATGTATTAATTGAGTCAGAGGGAACAAGTAATGCCATGTTATAAGTTAAACATTACTGAAGATGTTTGCTCTTGTAAAATGAACCAGGATCAATTTTAAGTCAGTCACTATTTAGCTAATCTGTAGTGATATGTAAATAGAAACTAATTTGCCAAAATAACCAGACCCAAGATTGGCATTAAAGCTAAATATGAGGAAAATAATGCAAGGAACACCTGTTGTCTTACAGCAGCATCTAGGAACCATACATAACTTGCATCCCATCGTGTTAAGTACTGTACATCCTAAAACCACTCACTACCCAAATGGCCAACTATCTCCAAAACAGTACTGATTTCTGCCAGAAAATACAGCATTAACCTAGCCCAAAGCACTGTCCTTGCCATCATGGATGTCACCTCCCTATATGCCAACATTGCTCACTTTGACAGCATCACTACATGCCTCATGTACCTACAAAATACAACACTTGGAAAAACACCTTAAATAAATTACCAGATAGCCTCATCCACAACAACTTCAAATTTAATGACACACTTTGCCCAAAGCATTGGAACAGTCATGGGTCCTAGGATGGTTCTCCCATAAGACAACCTTTTCATGGATCAACTTGAATAATTTCTGAGAGAAGGCACCACACAACTATGATGATTTGATATTTTCATCCTCTGGACAGCCAACTTAAAATCGCTCACATTTCTACCACAACTACAATCACCACCCATCTATCAAACTTTCTCTGGAACACTTCAGCACCACTGCGATAGGTTGAATCACAGAAGTTCCCAAGGACTTCACATCCCTCCCTCCCGCCCAGCTGACATGGGGTTGTCACCTGGTGGGCTGATCAAGCCATTGATCCCTTCCTGTCTCCTGTGGGGCTCTCCACAGCCCTGTTCTGCTGGTCCAGAAGCTCTGGTTTCTCTTAGCCAAAACATAGAGGTGCGGTTACCACCCCTCAGCAGAGCAATACAGACATTGAACCGGCTCAGTTAAAAGGCTGTTGATGACAACTAAGAACCCAACCCCAAAAAGGGACCAAGACCCCAATAAATCCATCTTACTCTTTATAAATGTTTTACACAGACAAATCTTATCAAGTCAGCCTTCTTTATCACAGCGGTTGCATGCCCCAGGTAACAATTATTTACACTGAGCTTGATAATACAAGTGTTTTTATTAAATATAAAAGGTAGGATTTAAAGTGACTATAAATAAAAACAGACCAAAGTAAGTTACTCTAAGCCAAAATAAACAAAACACACCAGCTAATCCTAATATACTGTACTAAGAAAATTTATTACATGCAAATTCTTACCCTAACAGTTGTTCTGATCATCTTTTTCACAAGCTAAGCAGCCTCCTTGCTTGGGCCCAATCTTTCTCCTGTTCAGTCTTAGGGTGTATCTACACTGTACCATTTTCCAAAATAACAGCCATCCACCAGGACCATTAGGTAGGGGTGCACATCCGGAAGGCCCTGAGGGAGAGTTTCTCTCAAAGACCCCAGTAACTCTCCCCAAGGCCTCCCCACTAGGGGCCTGTGCCTTGCCCCTATCTGCCTTTCCTCCAACAATCCCTCCACACTTCTTCCCTGCAGACACAATAAAAACACATTTTGTTTTGAAAAAAATTGTTTGTTTATTTGGGATAGAAGTAACTGAGGGGGGAGGGAGAGAACCTGGAAATGGGGAGGAGGAGTGAGAACCTTGGAGTGGGGAGGAGAGGTTCAGAGCTGGGGCTGAGAGTGGCGCGTGGCTCAGGTGTTTCTTCTGCCTCGTGTGCGGGGACCTCGGCAACCTTGGGAGTGGGGGAGTCCTGGGAGGATAGGGGGACAGGCAGCAGGGGGGCCTGGAGCGGGGTCAGGCATGGGAGGGGGAGCAGGGACTGGGACCGGTGCCAGGTAGGTCATGAGCTCCTGGATGGTTGCACACATGTTGTGGTCTGCTGCAGCAGCTTAGTCCACATCTGGGCCCGCCACTTTGTGTCATCCGGGACCTTCTGGGCCAGCGTCTGTTGCGTGTCCTGGAGGACGGAGATGTGCTCCCTCATGAGGTCCTCCTGGACCCTCTGACGACTGCAGATATCCTGGAATCAGGCGGCTGGCTCAGATGGTGTCAGTTGCCCCACAATCACAGCTGGTCTGGCTGGGGAGAATAAAGAGTGGTGCTCAGTAATCACTGGAGAGCCAGCAAGGGATATCAGTCCAAAACTGTTAACGTTTTCTCTGGCACCCTCCTCTTCATCGCTTTCATCACACTCACCTCCATTCCGAATGAGCAGCACTGAGCATTACCTACATGGCCAAAGCAGACACTATAGACCAACTTACTATCTGTCACCTGTTCCTTACCGATGATATACCTCTCGATCACCCTCACCCTCTTTGAGACGATCACCCAAGTCTCCCCTCTCTCCAACTCTCTCAGTGCATGCACACTATCATGCACATCATAGGAGTGCTTTCTCATCCAGATATTCCTCTCCTAACAGATTGGAATATCGACATCACAGGCCAACATATTAGTATGACTATCCTCCTCATGGTTCAACATGTCATCAATATCAACAGCCTGAATATTGCCCATCCTGGTGCCTCGGTCACGCGTCCACACGTAGACTCACAATCTCTCCCCAGCCAACTCATAGGCAGGAGGTTGCAGCCATACCTCCCACTTTTCCTCCCACAGCTCAGCAATCTGAACCTGAGGAGAGGCAATTATCCGAAATGGAAGAGCAGCCACCAGACATTTCACCGACTGACTTCTCCTCATCATCTCCTGATGAAGCAGTTATCTCCTCCAGATGACTTGAAGCAGTTTCAGGACCTGTTTAAAAGAATGGCTGCTAGTCAAGAGATACAATTAACAGAGGTGTAAGAAAAACAACATCAGCTTCTTAAAAACCTTCAGCCCTCCCAGTGTGCAAAGATTGCAATCCCAATAGATGAGGCCATTACGGAGGCTGCTGATGAGATCTGGCAGACTCCAGCATCAGTGCCTCCAACTAACAAATGCGCAAACAAAAAGTACTTTGTCCCTCCAAAGGGAACTGACTTTTTATTTTCCCACCCACGACCCAACTCTTTAGTGGTGGATGCCTTGCAACAAAGGTCCAAGCTTCCTCAATATAAAAACATCATTGTGGATAAGGAGACCAAACACATGGATATCTTTGGTAGGAAGCTTTACTCCTCTTCAACCCTGCTTCTCTGTATAGCTAACTATGCAGCCCTATTGTCAAATCACAACTTTGACAATTATACCAAGCTCACTACCCTCATGGAACACCTGCTGGATTCAAAGAGGCCTACATTAAAATCCATCATAGAGGAGCAGTATGTGTCAGCAAGAACCATCCTTCAAATAACTTTTGATGTAGCGGACACAGCAGCTTGTGCTACAGCAACACTGTAGTTATAAGGAGAGCCTCATGGCTACAATCTGCCGGGGTCCCTCACGAGCTACAGATGAAAGTGCTGAAAAGACCAATGAGGTCCTGCACTCAAATAAAGACTCGAGAACTACTCTGCGTACCTTGGGTATGTACATCCCGCCATACCGCCGTAAGCAGTACGTTCCATGTCAAAAACACCATGAGTTCTTATACTCAAAACAGCAACAGTGTGGCTTTGATCAATCATAAGCGAGACAACGGTCTCAGAAGAGACATCCTAAGAATGGCCATAACACCAGCCACCAGTCAAACAAGCAGCAGGTTTGACTTATTGGTCGAGGGCTTGCAGAATCTCCCCATCACACATCATCACAAACAACCCATTCCTACCTTCCATGATCATTTAAGACCTTTTCATCACCACTGGGCTGTCATTACTTTGGACCAATGGGTCCTCGAAATTATAACATCAGGAAACACTATCCCATTCATGACATTACCTCCCCACTCTCCCCCTCACTCTTCAGGAACCCCTCTCACAAAGACTTGCTCAAAGAGGAGGTCCATCGTCCCCTTACCATTGGAACAATAGAGATGGTACCCGAGGATTTCAGAGGCAGGGGTTTTTACTCCCATTATTTTCTCACACCAAAAAAGATGGGAGGTTGAAGGCCTATTCTAGACCGTCGCAGATTAAATCGATATCTTCAAAAACAATTATTCAAAATGGTGACCCTAGCATCCATAATCCCAGCGTTTGAGAAAGGAGACTGGTTTGTAGCCCTCGACCTGCAAGATGCCTATTTTCATATCACTATATATCCTGCGCACAGATGATTCCTACTCTTCGTGTTGGGATAAGACCACTATCAGTACCAGGTGCAGCCCTTCAGCCTCTCTTCTGCACCCAGAGTGTTCTAAAAAACACTTACTGTGGCCACAGCCTGCCTGCTCAGACAAGCTGTAATTACCTTTCCTTACCTGGATGATTGCCTGATAAAAGGTTCATCTGCTATGGAGACAAACCAGATGATACTAATAACCAGACAAACATTCGAGCTTCTTGGTCTTATCCTCAACATCTAAAAATCAATGATACAATCTACACAGACTATGGAATTTATAGGGGCTCAATTAGACTACCACATCAAAAGCATATCTACCATTACAAAGATTCCAAGTGATCCAATACTTCATCTTTACTGTCTTGACCAGTCCTACAGTACCAATGCTTACTTGCCTCCAGCTCATGGGCCATATGTAGTCAATCACGCACACCTACACTTTCGATGCCTCTAGCACTGGCTTGCGTCTGTTTATATCCACCTCAGACGACATGTACTCAGGCAAGTTTCTCTCTCCCACTATTGTCCCTCAAGTGTTGGACTGATCCCAGCAATCTTCTGGCAAGTGTCTCATTCCATTGGGACCAACCTTTCACCCACATAACTACAGATGCTTCCCTCATTGGATGGGGCACTCATATGGGCAGTATATCAATACAAGGATGATGGACAACTCGGGAGACAGCTTAACATATCAATTTACTGGAACTTAGAGCTGTCTTCAATGTATGCAAGCACTTTGTCACATGTATCTAGGTCACTACTATCAGAATATTGACCGACATCATAACAACAGTGTATTATATTAATCACCAAGGGGTGCCCAGTCCCATTCTCTATGTGCCAAAGAATGGAATTGGTACACCCGCAACAGAATCACTTTGATAGCTTCATACTTACCAGGCTTCAATAACATAATTGCTGACACTCTCAACAGGCACATTGCTCCAGAATATGGGTTCTCCAGCCCACCCGGAAGCTCCAGCACCGGGTTCTCCAGCCCATCTTCTATCGATGGGGTCACCCAAAAATAGACCTGTTCACTTCCTACAAGAATACAAAATGCTGACAGTACTGCTTCAGAGCTGGTATTGGACTAGGATCTCCGGTCCCCTTTCTCCTCAACTGGAAAGGGCCCCTCTTATATACATTCCCTACTACTCCTCTCATTCCCAAAGTCCTCAAAAAGATCAATAGAGATGAGGCAATGGTCATTCTCATAGCCTCCTTTTGGGCACAACAGACATGGTTACCTTATCTGTACTGGATGTCTCCTCAACCATCCTATCACCTTCCCAAGCATCACAACCTCATAACCCAGAACAGCGGAACCCTACTCCACCCACAGCCCCATGCCCTACACCTGATGGCATGGCTCATTGTTGATTCCACGAAGGGGAACTCTACTATTCGAACCAAGTAAAGATGTCCTCTTGCACAGTAGAAAACAATCTACTCATTCTACTTACCTTCAAAAATGGCATAGATTCCTTTCGTGGTGCTCTGATAAAGCATTGGACCCATGTGCAGCACCTCTACACAAAATTTTGGACTACATCTTGTTCCTGAAAGGTGCTGGGTTGGCCTTGGCTTCCAGGGCTGGCTCCAGGCACCAGCAAACCAAGCACCTGCTGGCCAGAGAACTCCTGAACTTCTAACCCTTACCGCCCAACACGGGTCTCCCTGTGGCCGCCCAAGGCAATGGGCGGGACGGGGTGCGAGGGGCAAGTTGCACTCACAGCCCCACTGTGATTGGCTGAGGAGCCATGACATCACATTTCCAGGTTTGGGGCTGCCTCGCTGCCTTCCCTCGGCACCAGGGAGAAAAGTGCGCCCCCTAGTTAGTGTGTGAGGGCATTGCAGTGGGGCAGGGCAGGGCTGTTCCGGCAAGAGCGCCGGCCACATGCCGCTCCAGTCACCTTCCCAGCGGCTGCGGAGCGGGAAACGCCCGAAGGAGCCTCCCATCCATGAAGCAGACTCCGGTCTCCAGTTGCCTTCCCGGCACAGCTGCTGCTGTGCAACACCTAGTGGCAGTGGAGCGGGAAATACCCCAGGGAGCCTCCCATTCATGAAGCAGACTCTGGCACCCAGGGATTGTTCATGCTCCTCTGACTGGCACCAGCCAGTGCTGCCCGATGTGCAGGGGGGTTCACCATGGGCTTTGAGAACAGCAGCTGCGCTGCAGTGCTATGGCCCTGGTGGGCAACCTGCTCTCCCCGGGCTGTGTGGGGCAGGCTGCACAGAGTGATCTGGGGCCGGGCAAGGGGCAGCCTGGGTCACTGCAGCCAGGGACCACGCTGGGAGCCACGTGCCTGTAGTCATCTCTCCACCTGCCTTGCACTTACTAGTGACCCCTCCAGCCAGAGGGGGTGCCCTTGGTCAAGGAGTTTTCAGGAGTGTGTGTGGGGGGGGGGGGTTAAGCGCACATTGGCAAATGGAGGGTGACTCTCTCCCTCTTTTCTGTACTTCAGTGCTGGGCGCAGAAGGAGGGGAGAGCTGCAACCTTAGTGCGACCGGGCAGAAGGAAGCCAGGATGATTCAAGCAGAGGTGCCTAGGCTGGGGGGAGGGAAGAGCTACTTTGCAGCCCGATCTGGCTGGTCTGGCACTGAGGAGCCACTGGAGGGGGCCTCACCTGCCCCGGCTCAGAGATTTGGGGGCCAGGGAGGGAGAGAGGTGTCCCTGGCCTTGCCCATTACATTTCCTGGCTGTGTCCGCGCGCATCCCCAGGGGGACACGGACCACTTTCACCCCTCCCCCAGGGCACTCTGACGTTTCCACACATGCTGTGGGGAAGGGACATGAGGGTTTGACAGGGAGAGGGAAAGGAGACAGAGTTTGATCATTTGGAGTAGGTGGGAGAGGGGAGCGGACTGGGTCTGGTCGGAGGGGGAGGGGGTTTGGCTGGGAGGGAAGAGAGGGCGCAGGGTGGATTAGGTGGGGGACAGAAGGGAGGGGAGACTGGGTCCGGTCACTGAGGGGTCGGGTTTGCCTGGGACGGGAGAGAAGGTGGAAACTGGGTTCGGTGAGTGGGGGAGGGGGTGGCGGTTGGGATGTGTGTGGACGGGGATGTGTGTGGAGGGGAGACAGGACGTAGGCTGGGTTTGGCTGGAGGGCATGGTGAGAGTCAAAGAGCCGCAAGGTGAAAGGGGCGCTTTCCTCCTCAGTGCCTGTCCTGCAGCAGTGGGACAAGGGGGGAGGGGCGGCCAAACATTTTTTTGCTTGGGGCGGTAAAAAACCTAAAGCCAGCCCTGTTTGCTTCCCTAAAAGTATATTTGGCAGCAATCATTGCTTTCCATCACCCAATAGATAGTTGCTCAGTGTTTGCACATGCTATTTCCTAAAGGTTTATAAAAGGTCTTTGTAATCTATACCTCCCATGTAGATTACCACCATCAGCATGAAACCTGGAGATGATGTTGGACACTCTTACCCATGCTCCCTTTGAACTGCTAGCTACCTCTCCATTATCGACAATGATGCTCAAGGTAGTTTTTCTACTAACAATTACTTCCACCTGCAGAGTTGGAGAACTGGTGGCCTTAATGGCAGTACCGCCATATACCACATTTAATAAAGACAATGTCATATTGCGCCCACACCCTTCCTTCATCCCTAAAGTTTGTTCAAATTTCCACATAAATGAACCAATCGTCTTTCCTTCCTTTTACCCTAAGCCACACTTAACTCCTCGTGAAGCTACGCTTCACTCTCTTGACATGCACATAGCACTCGCTTTCTATGTAGACAGAATTCACCCTTTCCACAAATCGGAGCAGCTACTAATCTCATTGGTGGAGCGTTCCAAAGGTGAACTTCTCTCATCACAACGCATTTCCAGGCTCATAGTTTCCTGCATAACAAAGTGCTATGCCCTAAGGAGTAAACTGCATCCAGAAACACCTAGAGCACACTCTCCAAGAGCAGTAGCAACCTCCGTGGCTTTCCTTCGGGGAGTCCCGCTCAGAGACATTTGCTGAGCGGCTACGTGGTCCATCAATGACACCTTTATGAAGCATTACACTATCTCTCAGAGTTGAACTAAGGACACTACCGTAACCTCTGCAATACTATCAACTGATTAAATCATGACTCTGAGGTCCGCCTTCCATGTGCTCTTGAGTACTGCCATACAGTCACCAACAGTGGAGCACCCACAGGAACATCACTCAAAGAAGGAGTTACTCACCTGGGCAGTAACGATTGTTCTTCAAGATATGTGTCCCCACAAGTGCTCCACTATTTGCCCTCCTCCCTGCTTCAGAGTCTCCTATTATATCTTTCAGATATATGGGCAGACTTGAGGAACTGGCGGGAGCCAGACTGCACATGTGATCAAAAGGGCATGAACAGTGCAAAGTGCATGGTTCACCTGACTACTGCTGATGAAAACTCTGATCTGTAGTGCCGGGATGACCCGACACCAACAGTGGAGCACCCACGGGGGGACACATCTCGAAGAACAGTCATTACTGCACAGGTGAGTAACTCTCTCTTCTGCTGGCATCTGGCAAATCCTTCTATTATTTGATTTCCTCCCTTTATATCCCTTTTGACCAAGGCAGGAATTCTTTATGTTCCAATTTTCTCACCTTGAGTGGAAAAGTACCTGATCAAAAATGGGTCAAGTGGCATGGTCACATGTTTTTGTAGGGCCAACCACTGTTTGAGGTTACTGGAAAAACAAAGCCATTCATAAGTTGTTGACTTGATCACCCAGCTATTAAATTCCTAATGTATCACTAATGGTTTTCATGAGACTACTTGGACTAATAAAGCAGGTTACCATTTAATATTTCTAACTTCACATACAAAAATAATTAAATTTAAGGATAAGAAAGAAACAAAAATTATGAAATGCATATGCCAGTGAAAAATCTCAGATAACAGCATTTTGAAGAATAAAATTACAGGATATATATATGCATTGCAGGAAGTATCAAGAATTGACATCAATAATAATACAAGTATGTGCTGGGAGGTGAATGTGAAAGACAGTGTGTGTGTGTGTGTGTTGTGTGAGGGACAAGAGCCACACAATAAGTGAGTGCATGTGTGGGGGGGGAGGGACTATGTTTACAGAAGAGGCAATGCAAATGAAGCGCGGATTAACATTTTCTTGCACTTCATTTGCATAATCTCTTCCGGTCCATTTTTGTGTAAGGGATTTTTGCACAAAAACAAGCAGTGTGGATGGGTCCATTTTGTGCAAAAAAAACCTTTTTGCACAATATCCGTATGCCTCCCCCGTGGAGGGGATGTTTTGTGTGCCCCTTGACTGATTTTTCTGTGGGTCAGTGGCTCCCGACCCAAAAAAGGTTCCCCACCCCGATCTACTGGATCCTGTTATAACTTTTTCTACAAGACTGAAGAGCCTATTTATTAAATATTCGATCCTCATGCAGATATTTACAGATTGTAACCAAGTCACCTCTTACCCCTCTCTGTGTTAAGCTAAAAATAGATTGAGCTCTTTGAATTTGTCACTATAAAACATTTTTTCTAATCTTTTAATCATTCTTGTGGCTCTTTGAAATTTCCCCAATTTATCAACAGCCTCCTGGAATTGTGGGCACCAGAACTGGACACAGTATTCTAGTAAGTTCAGAAAATTTCACTAGTAAAATCTAAGAAATCTCTACTTAACATATGCGAACTGTGTTGCCAAGGTCCCCGAGGTCCCCAGACACGAGGTGGTACTTCCACCCACACCACACACTACTCTCAGCCCCAACTCTGAGCCTCTCCTCCCCCCTCCAAGGTTCTTAGCCCCCTTCTTCCCTCCCCATATCCCAGTTCTCAGATCCCCTCCTGCCCAGTTACTTTTATATAAAAAAAACCCGAAGACTTTTTTTGGAACAAACTGTTGTTTTTATTGACTGTACAGGGAAGGGGGAAGGGAGGGTTGTTGTGCAGAAGGTATAGAGGGGCAAGGCACAGGCCCCTAGTAGGGAGGCAATGGGGAGAGTTACTGGGGTCCTTCAGAGAAACTTTCCCTCAGGTCCTCCTGGATGCGCACCCCCACTTGATGGGCCTG